CAGTATAATCATAATGACAATTATTGTTCAGTTACTGTTTCCAGATAGTTATTTCTTTTCTTGATCAATGATTGTACAAATAGTTGAGTTCTTNTCTTTCTCTCAGCAGCATAATGACTAATGAGTTCTTCTAGTACTGCTTCTGATAGTTCACCTTCTCCTCCTCCTCCTCCTTTCAGTTTCTTTATAATATTGTACTAGTGCACAGTCTCTGTCTGATTTATACTGCTTGTCCTTCCTCTCAATGTACATGTACTCTCTTGCTAGCCTACTCATGTAGTATAAGGTAAAGTCTATACATTTATACATGTACCATAGTTACTGTAAGATCAAAGGGACCGCCAGGTGGTATATAGGCCATGTACACCTAACCGTTGCCAGTTAACGATATTCACTGCAAGATAATGAGATTCATTGGAGTAGGTACACCTGTAATGAGATTCATTGGGTGAGTTTATCTGTAATGAGATGCACGAGCGATCTGCGCATGCTCAGTATCCAGCATGTGGCAGAAAATGGCAGCATAGTAGTAGGCTAGACCCAGCCGTTCGCCACTGTATTGACGAAAATAAAGCTCGTGCAGAGATAAATGCTACAGAGAAGTTCCAAGAAGGCTTTTATTGTTCTGTCAAGAAGTGAAAGAGAGGGATAGAGTTTGATCTCCCAGCAAACGAGCAAAGCGCGTATCCGTCCCCGGTAGATCCCATAGATCTTACAGTAAATATAGCACATATTATATGAACCATGGTTTCTCGGTGAGTATCAGTAATGTAAGACCTTCGCCCCTCGATGTCTGCCCTCGGCTTCGCCTCGGGCAGACATCTCGGGGCTCAGGTCTTACATTACTGATACACACCTCGAAACCATGGTTTATATAGTACATGTACATTATCTAACAGTGTCCCTCTCCAACCACAACCAAAGCCAGCTGGCTATCACAGCAAAGCTTAGGAGTCAGCTACTAAATACAAGCAGCAATGTGTACACCACAAACTACAAGTTCAAAGGGATACTGTGGTTTATACAGGCTTCCTCAATCCACCTCCCTCTCTCTATTGTGTCAAAACAGAAAGTGAGAAGGGGAAAAAGGGGTGGATGATACATACACTACACATGCAGCTATAGGATTCAATTAATTACTAACAAACCTTTATATTATTGTAATTCTGTTGGTATGTTAATATCGAAGAGAATAAATTCCAAACGGAAAACTCTGGCCACAACACATCTTGAAAACAGAGACAAGAATAAGAGCTCTATTAATAATAATAAATATATTAATTAATTAATTAATTAAAGATTACCTGCCATATAAGGAAGTCACTTAATCTCACTTCTCCTCATGTTCTAATGACAAGATCAGGTGGTGTACATGTACCAGTATAAAGACATCTCTCCATCAACTCTTCACTGATATCTCTATAATGTAAATACACGTACTTGTATAATGTATGTATAAAGCCCAACATACACATAGTGACATGATAAATGCACCCTGTACCGTTAAAAATAAACATGTAACATGTTTACTTTGTTTTTATTCTTTTATTTTACATGTTTAACATATCGTATGCATGAGTGTGTAATACCTGTGTGTTATTATTGTTATGATATGAATGAATGTTATGAATTAGAATGAATATGATTATGTTCTATCAGCAAGTACATGTAAGTGTTATAATTGTGAGCAAGCTATTACTAGATGCTGTATTTGTTTATTACAACATATGATCAGATGAACCTAATTGAATTATTAATGCTCAGTTGGTCACACACTATAATGGGTGGCAGTTATAATTAATATAAAGTGGGTAGATTTACAAACAGCATACATGTAGATGTAGTACATGTACATGTATGTGTACGTTGTATGTGTAAGTGGTACTATGATGCATGTATGTACATATACTTACGTTGGTAGTATAGTACCATCATGAGATCCATCAACCAGTCACTGTATAGTATCAGTAATCTCATATCTTGATGCATAAGAGAAACACACATTAAGATATACCCTATAATAAAGGAATGGACAATATATAATAATAAATACATGTACATGTATATTGTACTTTTGTATTGGACGCTTCTATTGATTGAGTTTGCTACATGTTGTACAACATGTT